AAAAAGAGAAGGATTCGCTGAGGAAGGAGACTGACTCTCTTCAGGATGAGAGGAACGCTCTGCAGCTTGAAAAGAGCGTCTAGCAGACCGAGCGGGAATCCCTTAAGGCCGAGAAGGAATAACTGCTACGCCTTCTGAGTGATCAGCAATCCACTCGGATGGCCTTTGAGAAAAGGGCCTTGGACGAGCGCAACGCTTTACTTGATACCATCAGCAGGGTAAATGGTGGTATGCTAGCTCTGCATGCTCGGTTCTCTAGAGTTGAAGCCCTCAGATATGCTCAGGGGTTCCGAGAGGGTTACGCCGATCGCGTCCCGGATGAGGGTCAGACTGGCTCTACCCCTGATGATGTTGATAAAGACCTGGATATTGACCCTCCTGGTGTTTATACCGATCCAGACTCCACCGCTGCAGAGGGCATATTTGATGAATGTCAGGAGATTGCGTCTTCTCGGATCACTCCTACTCCTCCTGCTGCTCTGACTTTAGACATCCTTCCTCTGTCCACTTTGACTCCATCTGCTGCTACTGCTGAAGATAACCCTTAGCAGAATGATTCTTCCAACGTTGTTGAGGGTAGGACTCAACAGAATGATTCTGTCATTCACCTCGACTCTCTACCTCGTGAGGATGGTGACACCACTAATAATGAGGAGGTAGCCCAACATCACCAAGAGGCCGACGAGGCAAACGCCTCTTAGTTAGAACTTTTTTTTTTTTAAATGTACTGACTTTGGTATATTTGCCATCTTTACACCTCATTTTTTGTAACCTTCTGAACCTTATTAATGAGATGGCCGACTTCTGATCAAACTTTTTATGTAAACTTCCTCCTCCTTCTTCTTCTGTCTTTTTTTTTTTTTTTTTTTTTTTTTTTTTTTTTTTTTTTTTTTTTTTTTTTGTGGCAAGTGTTTGGCGTTCGGCTAGAATGCCACTTGCCACTTGGCCCTCTAATTTTCTTTAGCAAGTGTTTGGCGTTCGGCTCATAGTGCCAGCTGCCACTTACTTTGCTTAGGTGCCTAGCGCTCGGCTGGAATGCCACTTGCCACTTGGCCTTTTATTTTTCTTAGCAAATGTTTAGCGTTCGGCTCATAGTGCCAGCTGCCACTTACTTTGCTCAGGCGCCTGGCGCTCGGCTGGAATACCGCTTGCCACTTGGCCTTTTATTTTTCTTAGCAAGTGTTTGGTGTTCGGCTCATAGTGCCAGCTGCCACTTACTTTGCTCAGGCCCCTGGCGCTCGGCTGGAATGCCACTTGCCACTTGGCCTTTTATTTTTCTTAGCAAGTGTTTGGCGTTCGGCTCATAGTGCCAGCTGCCACTTACTTTGCTTAGGATTTTAAAGAAGAGTGCAATCCTTATAAATCTCAGAAACTTATACATTCAACTGTTTTCAATTTAAAATAAACAAAATTCAGTACTGAATCTCAACTTTTTATTGATAATACCTCTTCAGAGAAGTAGCATTCCAAGGCTTGTTAACCAGCCTTCCGGCCATGGTTTCTAAGGTATATGCGCTTTTTCCTATGGTCTCTGCAATTCTGTATGGGCCTTCCCATGGTGGCATCATCTTTTTTACTATCCCCACCTTTTTTTTCAGAACCAGGTCACCTGGCCTAAAGTCTCTGTGCTTTACTTTCCTGTTATGGCTGTTCGCAAGCGTCTGCTGGTAAGATGCGAGCCTTACCGCTGCTGCGTCTCTTTTTTCTTCCAGCAAATCGAGGTTAAACCTTAGCATACTATCATTATGCTCACGGTTCCATGCCAAGCTTCGAACAGTCGGAACTAAGTGCTCGACTGGTATAACTGCCTCGGTTCCATACGCCATGGTGAATGGGCTTTCTCCGGTCGGTCGTCTAGGGGTCGTTCTGTAGGCCCATAGGACGTTCGGCAGTTCATCTAACCACCTTCCTTTCCTTTCCTCTAGTTTCTTCTTGATACAAGTAAAGATTGTTCTGTTTATAATTTCCATTTGTCCATTGGCCTGTGGGTGACTTACTGCTACCAGCTTTTGATTAATTCCATACTCCTCCAACAGCTCTCTTACTTGCTTACTGTCAAGGTTGGCACCATTATCCATGATGATTGACCTCGGAACATCAAACCGGCAAATAATATTACTCCAAATGAATCGTCTCACATGAGTTTGAGTAACGCTCGGATATGGCTCTACTTCCACCCACTTGGTAAAGTAGTCTGTAGCCAGTAACACATACTTGTTCTGAGCTCTGACAGTTGGTAGAGGACCAACTACATCCATCCCTCATTGTGCGAAAGGCCATGGTGTGGCCATTACATGCAAGTCTTCAGGCGGTTGGTGAATCAGTGGTCCAAACCTTTGGCACTTATCGCACCTTCTGGACAATTCTTCCGAATCTCGCGACATGTTTGGCCAGAAGTACCCTTGAGCCATTGCTTTGTATGCTAATGATCTCCCCCCTGAGTGTTTTCCACATACGCCTTCATGAATAGCTCGTAATATTTGCCGAGCCTCTGTGGGGGTAACACACTTTAAGTACGGTCCGGAAAAAGATCTTCTGTATAACTGGTTATGCACTATGGCGTACTTTGTAGCATTCGCTTTGATTTTCCTAGCCTCATCTCTTTGTTCAGGCAGAGTACCATTTCGGATGTAAGTTATGATCAAATCAATCCAACTTGGCTCATATGGAATAACATTCACTTGCCAAGGATCCGAGCCTGAAGGTTCTTCGAAAATGGATGGCTAGTTTAATATTCCCACTGGAACCACCTTTGCCAATGTTTCTCCAGAACCCGAGGCGCTACATGCTAGCCTGTCGGCATTTTCGTTATACTCCCTCGGAATTTGAATGAATTCAATTTTTTCAAAGTTCTTCGCCTCCCGCATAACAGCAGAACGATATGCTTCCATTGTTTCATCCTTGGTTTCATACTCACCCCTCACCTGTCGAACGACTAACTGTGAGTCACTAAAAACATTCAAATTCTAGACCTTAAGTTCTTTGGCAAGCTTTATTCCTGCCAGCAACGCTTCATACTCTGCCTCATTGTTCGTGGCTGCGAATTCAAGCCGAAGCGCTTGGCTTAAGGCTGTACCTTCTGGCGTCTGCAGTTTGATCCCAATGCCTGCACCCATCTGATTTGAGGATCCATCAACGAAGAGTTTCCATAAGCACTTACAAAGATCCTCCTCCACATCCTCTGAATCACATTCTAGTAAAAAATCTGCCACCGCTTGCCCTTTGACTGCTGTTCTAGGTTCGTATGTGATATCAAATGAGCTTAACTCTATAGCCCACTTCGTCATTCTTCCGGAGAGATCCGGTTTGTGCATGATTATTCTGATAGGGAAAGTGGTTAGAATGATAATAGGATAGGATTCAAAATAATGTCTGAGCTTTCTTTTCGCATGCACTAATGAGAATATCACCCGCTCTGCCTTTGAATAACGTCTTTCGGCCTCAGTCATTGTCTTGCTAATATAGAACACTGGATATTTCTTCCCTTCTGCGTAGTGGATCAAAACGCCACTTGTCGCGATGCTGGATACTCCGAGATACAAAAATAGCTTTTCGCTTGATTCTGGAGCTGACAGTACCGGAAGGTTCTGCATATATTTTTTCAGAGCAGTTAACGCTAGGCGTTGTTCATCTCCCCAAACCTGCCTGCCGTGGTTCCATATTGTGTCAAAAAATGGTTTGCATCGATCTGACAATTTGGAAATGAAACGGCTCAGTGCAGCAATCCGTCCCGTAAGTGTTTGCACTTCTTTGATTATCGTCGGCTCGGCATTCTTAGTCAGAGCATCTGCTTGGGCAGGGCTTGCCTCGATGCCTCTGAGATTAACCACGTGCCCTAGGAATTGGCCTGAACTTACACCGAACGAGCACTTGGTCGGATTGAGCTTCATTCCATATCACCGCAACACATCAAACACGTCTCGAAGATGCTGCACATGATCAGCTTTCTTCTTACTTTTGACCACCATATCATCAATGTAAGCCTCCATTGTCTTCCCTATTTGTTCCTTAAAAATCTTGCTAATAAGTCTTTGGTAAGTTGCCCCGGCGTTCTTCAGTCCGAACGGCATAACTTTGTAGCAATACGTCCCGCGTTCAGTAACGAAAGAAGTTTTTTCTTCATCAGCGGGGTCCATGGGGATCTGATTATAACCCGAATAAGCATCTAAAAAGGTCAGGCGTTTATATCCAGTAATTGCATCCACCATCTGATCAATCTTTGGCCGCGGGAAGTTATCCTTCGGACAAGCTTTGTTTAAATTGGTAAAATTAATGCATACGCGCCATTTCCCATTTTTCTTTTGCACAACGACCACATTCGATAGCCAGTTAGGGTAGTACACTTCTCTTACAAACCCCGCATCAAACAGCTTGTCAACTTCCTCGGCAATAATTCGGTTGCGCTCGGGGGCAAACCGTCGCTGCTTCTGCTTTACAGGTTTTGCATTGGGGTTAACGTTCAAGGAGTGACAGGATACCGAAGGATCGATCCCTGGCATGTCTAGGTGACTCCATGCGAACACATCTGCGTTTTGAGACAAAAAATTAACTAATTCCTGTTTTTCCTCCTCAACGAGTCGTTTCGCTACTTTAGTTGTCCGTTCCGGTCGGAACTGATCGATCTGCACATCAAGCAGGGGTTCTTCAGTCAAGCCTACTGGTTCTTCCTCTCCATTCTGCTTGGAGGGAGGCTTCTGTAATTGCTATCTCGGACTTACTGAACGAATGTGAGCTTTCCCCTTTCCGGTATGTTTCAGCGTTACAGAGTAACATTCTTTAGCTGCAACTTGGTCTCCATGAATGTCAATCACTTTGGTTCCGTCCGGTCCCAAGCATCTCATTACCTGATGCAGAGTGGAAGGAACACCTTGAACTCTGTGGGTCCACCCTCTGCCCATCAGAAGATTATAAGAGGGATGAATTTCAACAACTACAAAGGTTTCCATCAAAACCCTCTCGGCAGCATGTACCGCTACCTCCACCGTGCCGACGGGCTCCATTCACTTTCCATCAAACCCTAATAGTGGATTCCCGGTGGATTTCAGCTGATCCTGTTTGATCTCGAGCCGATCGAATGTATCTCTTGGCAAGATGTTCGCACTACTTCCAGGGTCAATTAGAACTCTGCGCACCAAGCATTTAGCCACTGTCAAACTTACGACCAGTGGGTCCTCATGAGGGATCTGAACACACAATAAGTCTGTTGCGTCAAACTTTATCTGCGTTGATGCGCTCTGCTGGTGCGGAGTGTTTACACTGCCTATCATTCTCTTCATCCGTGCCTGACGAAGGCGTGTTCGAAGCAGTTCATCTGATTCCTCAGCAGGTTCTGGCCGACCGTGAATTGCATTAATTACTCGAATTGGTTGCGTGTTGTGAGAATTCGACTTCTGATTCTTCTTCACATGCTCCATTGGTCGGTTCTGCTCCACTGCTGGTCCTTGAATATAACTTACGAACTCCCTTCTGGCTATCAGCATCTCTACCTGTCTCCTTAGGTTCCTGCATTCGTTAGTCTGGTGGCCAAAATCAGAATGAAATGCACAGTGCTTAGACTGATCCCTCTGTTCGAGAGGTTGTCTGATTGGTAAAGGAGGTCGGAACTTATCTTTATTTTCTTGGTATAGTCTCGCTAGGGTAACTTTCAATGGAGTAATCAGCTCTTCCTCTCTGGGCCTCTTTTTGAATTTCCACGAGGAGCGTTGCGGTTGAACCTATTTTTGCCTGATCTTTGCTTTGGTCTTTTCTTCCGTGGATATAACGGATGTCTTCCGAGCGTTTGCCGCCTCTTCTTCTTCCAAGCGCACAAATCCATCGGCTTCTTCGTTAAGTTCATCCATAGTCCTCAGCGTGTTGACCACCAAGCTTGTGTGGAACGGGGTGCCACGATTCATGGCCAGTATGAATGCTTGAACTGCCGTTGAAGGGTGACATTCAATAACCATTCTCTTAGTAAGGTTAAACCTGGTTAGGAAAGCCTGGAGACGCTCTTCAGCGTGTTGCTTCATTGTGAATAAGCTCGAAATATCTTTCGCTGGACGCTTGTTTCCATAGTATTGGCTTATGAACCGATCACACAGGCTTCGGAAACTATCCACTGAACCCCTCAGCAGGTTCTTGAACCAATTCAGAGCTGGTCTGGCCAGACTCGTAGGAAAGCATTTGCACATCAAAGAGTCATTCTCAGTGTTTAGAGCCATTTTCAGCTAGATGTGATACACATGATCGATCGGATCAGTCGTTCCATCGAACAGAATGAAAACGGGCATGGAAAATTTCCTCGGACTCGGAGCATTCAGAATCTCATCGGTGAACGGTGAATCAACCGTTCGAGCTGCTGAACGGAGTGCTTCATTTTCCCTCTGGAACCCCGCGGCTGCTCTCTGGTCTACTGATTTCCTCTCTGAGTTGTGATAGTCGAACGTCGTCATGGAAGGCCGATAGGTCGGATCGAATGATCTATTCTCAACGAAGTCTTTGCGCCATGGAGGCATAGCTTTCTGACGAATCAACTCTGTTGCTTCACCTCGGCTGAGCGTTTCTTGATATGGATCAAAAGTCATTGCTTCGTTTCGCCTGATCTGCTCACGCCGTGGATCCATGTGAGTCGATCCTTCACGATCATCCATACGACGAAGATTTGGCGGCAAATCGTCTCGCCGGATTTCCTCGCGGTGAGGATCTACTAGATTGTTTCCAACCTCCTCACCGTGATGTGTTGCATCGGTACGTGCACCTTCTTCTCCTACCGGGAGTGGTCGTGGAATTACTGGAGCTTCTTGAAGCTGCATTTCATTCCTTAGATCCGCATTTTCTCTCTGGAGAGCTTCGATTATGTTCATCAACTCATCAAGTTTCACTTGCTGGACGTTCTCAACCGTATTAGAGTTGTCACCCCCTATCATGATTCCGGATCGAAGCAAAGGCATGAATTACGAACTTTGAAACAGATCTAAGCGTTACCGATGCAAACTCCGCTAGATCTGGGCTTAACTTCACTGAATCGTGATCACTGTTTGCTAGATCTGAACTTTTCTAGCTTCAAACTCGTCGGATCTGACTACAATTGAGCAAATCACAATTGCGTCATTCCAAAGCAAATGCCTCAGAATCCACAATAAGCAAGAATTCTCTCGGAACAAACTACAATCTCACTGATCTGGATTCAACTTCCAGAAATCACACTGCGTATTCACAAACTCGATTGAACTAATATGGTACTGATCGGGCTCAAATTGATCTTCGTCCTCGTTTCCTACAGACGGCGCCAATTGAAGATACAAGATTTCGTTTCTTCTCTCCCTCTCTCTCTCTAGCATTCTATCCTCATTTTCCACCTGTAATGGTCTATTTATAGGCTATCACCCTTATTGCTGTTAACCAATTACATTGGGCCTATATTCGAAAGCTCTCTTCCTTCTGGGCTTGGTCTTCCAATGGGCTTGACCTTCCTCGGTGAATCCCCCAGGTTCGGCCCATTCCAGGGCGCTTTGGCATGGATCCTACTTCAATCATTCGACCCGATCTCGTTCCCGCGAACCATATCCGGCCCATGCCACTTGCTGCATCCTCAAGCACTTTATTAATTTAAGGAATAAACAAACACTAATTGAAATTTTTAACTAATTTCCAACCTTCTACTTCTTCTCTTTGACGGGATTTGAACCTGGTAATCATTTATATATATGTGTGTGTGTGTTTTGACTAGTAGTATTATAATTGGATAGCACTTTATTAATTTAAGGAATAAACAAACACTAATTGAAATTTTTAACTAATTTCCAACCTTCTACTTCTTCTCTTTGACGGGATTTGGACCTGGTCATCATTTATATATATGTGTGTGTGTGTGTGTGTGTGTTGACTACTATTTTTGTGTGGGACGTGGGGGAAGTCAGCATTTTAATTTTGCTTTTCCAGTTTGAAAGACTGATGAGTTATTTGGACGGTAAGGTTGCGAGCAAATTCTTCTTAGGGGTTTATAGATGTTTCTGTAACTCTTATCATTTGCACTTCATAGATATAAAACATGCATGTTTTTTTTTTATCTTTTTCTTTAGAGTATATTGTCACGGGTTTAAAGTTTTAGTACCACTTTATCTACTCCCGTGCGGCACCAAGACGTTGCTTCTACTTTTGCAAGTGTTTAGTCAGCCTAACTCCCGTGCACACCTCAGCCAACACACTCCCCTCGTGCGTTTACTAATGTTGTAGTGGCCCTCGCCCTCTCCTCACTTGGCTTGAACACTCACGTACACACACTAAGGCACTTAAGTTGGCAAGGAAAGAACACTTTTATTCAAATAATGCTTTGTACAAGGCTAGCACTCAAACTCTCTACAAGACTCTCAAGACTCACTCTAGGACTTGTTGGATACAAAATAAAGTCATACTCCTATTTATAGACATCCCCATCCCTAATGGATGGTTATGATGCATTCTAACCAACGGTGGAGATCGATTCTCTAGAATATTCTCCCACCTTCTTCACACTTCCATACTTATCTACTAGTATCTACAACATTCTAGAACTCTTTATACTACTCCACACAATTCTGGAGAACTCTAGAATATACTACATATATCTAGAATTTTCCACACAACTCTAGACAACTCCGGAAGACTATAGAAACTCCACTCGCCATGCAGTTGCCATGCAGCGTCTTCCTCAGCGTCTGCGTGTCACCTATGTGGCACAACCTCCATAAGCGGGACGTGACAATATGTATCGGTTCTATAATATACGCACCATTCAAGTCAAGAGTTCGATTTGAAAGTGAAATTTCAAGAACCTAATTTCTCAATTTCTGCTAATGCAGTTATGCCTATCAAAAAAGATATATAACATATATGATATGCTTATTAATTTAAAGATGTATAACAAAGTTTTGTGGATAATATTAAAAATTTACAAATTTCAGTACAAAATTAGTGGCTCTAAAAACTTAAGTAATCAAATATGTAGAATTGAAAATCTATAGACACGTTTATAAGTTGATAATGTAAAATGTTTTGAAATAACTAAAAAGGGTGTCAAAATAACTTTTGCAAAACTTTAAGCTAATAGTTGTTAGACCAAACTTATGTGAGGGTTGGAGTAGTTGACTCAAAATGCTATATGTAAACTTGAAACCTCCACAGTTATAAACTAGTCCTAATTTTTAAACTGTAAATTTCACATAAAAATTAAACCCCTAACTCTAATTTCAACCCCTAATTGGGTAGGTAAAATAAGATTTCACTGAAATCAACCAATTTGAATTGTCTACCTACATTATCCTGGTTAGGTTATGAGGAATTCTCCTACTCTCATGCAATGATGAAGTAGATGATGGCAAGGGAGGGAAATACTCCTCTATGCAACACATTTTATTATGTAGATGTGTTGTGATATTTTGGTTCGGTTTTGTTACGATATATTATTCGCAATACAAAACGCGCAATACAGTTGCCAAATTAGTCGTCTCACAATCTTTTGGGAAGACGTGTTAGAAGACATCAATCACTTCAACTAGGCATTAATGTCTTTGAAAGTGAACACAAAACAATGTCAAATGAGGAGGCTTCACCGAATGTGACTCCCTTTTCTACAATTGGGACCATTAGTTCCTCTTCTCTCTGTCTAAAACAATTTAAGATCGAACAGACCGACTTTTATCTCGAAAATCAATCCACCACCACGTACAGGTCTACACCCCCACCATATGAAACTTTTCAAATCTCTGTCCCTATATATATATATATATATATATATAAGTTTGATTTTGCTCCTTGTCACTGTCACTGATCTCCGGCAAGTCATTGGTCATATCCATAAACTATGACTTGGATTAGACTTCTTCTGTTTGTGGAAATAAAAAGGTTACGGTTCTAGGTAGTACGGTACGGTCACGCAACTTTGCAGACTAATTCTACGATCATTGATTAAGTCTTTAATTCGATTGTTTCAAGGTCATATTTGCATGCCTTCCTCTTTGCAAATCTTCAAGGCCCTTAATAAATGAACAGTGATAACTCACACAACCAAGGTCCACTAGCACTAGTTGGACGTTGGAAAATCGGCTACGTATAAGCAGCTTCATAGACAGTGATTCTTCAAATTAATACTTTAGGGAAAAAAATTATCATACGTTGACATCATTCAATTCACAAGGATAAACAAAATCTGTTATTGATAATAGCGCAAATTTCGATAAATTATAGACATTTGTTCAACTAACTCCATTAATAATGAAGGAGATCTCAACTATTGATATTAGCGGAACCAACTTGATTCCAATCGACAGCCATAAATAAAGCATTTTTCATAATTTGTAAAGTATAACATTTTTTAGGAAGGAAATAATACAGTGTGTAGGTGTAATGAAAACCATTTTATGGCCTTTGTTGAAAAGTAAAGTTACATCCACATGGAACATCGAAAAGTCGAACAGGCTTGGACTTTTATATTATATATATATATCATCTCGTATAATTTTGTTTTATGATGTTTTGGAACTTTTTTTTTACTACTGCATTACTCACTAATACTTTCACGTGGTTAAGAATATATGTAATAAGTCATCACGGTTCCATACGCACGTTTATCATGCCTCAAAAATTTCGGAGTAAAATATCGATATCTATTTATTTTTGGAGCCATGTCATGAATCATGATAACCAAAGAATTACGCTATGCTCTCTCTCTAGTCTTTTATTACTCTGTCTTGCCCTGTCGCGAAATCTTCTCTAATCAGTAATCCCCAGAGTTAACTAGTATTTAAGCAACCCATTTCTATACATATTACACTATCTCCACACTACCATTAATCCTATACAATTTTTTGTCCATCTTCTCAATATTCATTGTCTTCTCTCTACTATCATCTTTCATTTCATCTTCTCATAACATTTTCCGGCCACATACACTTTGAGATACTTACCGGGGAAAAAACACACACACACATAGTGTGATGGCCGGAGAGCGTTCATTGGAGGAGACACCGACGTGGGCGGTGGCGGTGGTCTGCTTTGTGTTGGTTCTGATATCAATCATCATTGAGCATGTCATTCATCTCATTGGACATGTATGTGTGTGTGTGTGTGTGTGTATATGTATTCCAAAGTCTCAAATTAATCATCTCTTCTTTTCATTTCACTTTGTTGTTGATTTCTATTGACATACTTGCACCCTTTACAGTGGCTAAAAAACAAGGACAAGCCTGCCCTTTTTGAGGCACTTGAAAAGATCAAAGGAGGTATATATATATATTATATTGTGTCCTGTCATTTGAGTTCAAGTGAATTAGACTTGAATGATATGTCCTTCACTCTCCAAATTAACGGGAGGTTAAGTTTTAAAATTTTCATACTAACCATTATTTTTTTTTTTTTGAAGAGTTGATGGTGTTGGGGTTTATTTCATTGCTCCTAACAATAGGTCAAGACTACATTTCTGAAATATGTATTTCCAAGAAAGTTGGAAATTCTTGGCATCCTTGCCAGAAAGATAAAGAAGACGACGAAAAACCAGATCCAAAATATGAAAACAGTTGCACGAAAAGGGTAAGATTAATATACTTCTTTCTTCCTAATCTACACTGGCGTAAATTAATACAGTGAATTTGACTAATAGGGAATATATATATAAAATAATCACATATGTTACTTGGTGGAACAACATTATGACCAATTTTGTTTATTTTTGTTCATTAATTTAATTATTTATTGTATATTATATACTTGTTTTTGCAGGGTATGGTACAATTTGTGTCTGCATATGGTATCCATCAACTCCATATATTCATCTTTGTGTTAGCCATTTCTCATGTGCTCTACTGTATCGCCACCTTAGCTATGGGAAAACTCAAGGTATATATATACTAAATTACTAATAGCCTGCACAACTAATGGTGAAATTAATCTCTCTCTATCTCACTCTCTCACTATGTGTTTGTGTGTGTGAATTGTGATCCATTGTTTGTATTGCAGATGAGAAAATGGAAGGCTTGGGAGGATGAAACAAGGACACTAGAGTACCAATACTACAATGGTGAGTGTAAACCACCAAGCATAATTAATATGCCAATATATTTCTCTTCCTGCCCAATTCATTTTTATTCAAGTTTTAGGAATGAATCAAAACAATGTATGATTTTTGTTTGAAGTATTTTGATCACAACCCACAATGCCATTGGAATTTGAATTTACACACTTTACATTTTTTTTCAACAAAATTTTGCACTATTGACTAATCACTTTAATATTTCTCGTGTGTTACAGATCCTGAGAGGTTCAGATTTGCAAGAGAGACATCATTCGGACGTAGGCATCTAAATTCCTGGAGCGAATCCTCGATTCTCCTCTGGATTGTACGACCTTACAACCTGATTTTGTGAATATAATGTCCTTTAATTTTGTGTATTAATTTTGAATAACAATTACTATACCATGTTGTTCTCTCATTCCTTTACATCATAGGCTTAATTTCCTCTTGTTGCCTTAAAAAATAACACAAGATATGAAGAGGAAAAAAGAAAATATAATTTTTTTCTTTTTTATCACGTAAGTACTCACACATTTATTTTTTCACGTTAAGATTCGAACCCTATTGAATAGAGGCCCTATGGTTAAAACTAGTACCTTCTAGCTTATGACAGTTTTTTTTATTTTTTGTTTTTTTTATTTTTTATTTTTATGACAAATATGCTTAGCCTTCTATCACCTATGGCTTCTAATCTCCACTGGCCGACAATATGGATAATGAGGAAGGAATCTCTCAAAGAAACAAGTACAAAAAAGTTTATAGATATCTGTACTTTTCAGCATTATGTTTTGCAGTTGCACTGTCATTGTATTGGACAAAAATGACACCATAAATCACCTTCATATATAAATGTAGATAGTGATGGAAAATGGACCCATTATTCTTATAAATGTAAGCTTTTGTAGAATCAACCCTCCTGCATAACACAGAAATGATAACAAGAAAATAGAAGCATATTGTTCACCACATGATATATATGGTAATTAATTAGGTCACTTCTAGATCCATTATTGTGCTTCATTTCATTTGAGTAAATGTAATGATAGTAACATTGTACGTTATTCATCTCTCATAACAAATTTGTCTGATGACATTTCATGATCAATGGTTACTTGTTGAGGCTTCTCACTTGCTGAGATTTCAAAATATTGCAAATGTCAATTTTGACTTGAGAAATACAGTCAAAGTCAGCAATTTATATTAACTTGAATTTGGATAGTGGATCTTACAATTTTTTTCTTCTCTTTGTTTTGTTAGGTATGTTTCCTTAGACAATTCTACACATCAGTTACAAAAGTTGACTATCTGACACTGAGGCATGGTTTTATCATTGTAAGTTGCATAGATAATTAAAGCCTACGAAATAATCTATTCAATGTTTATCAAGAGGGCTTAACGATTATTTGAATTTCAGGCACATTTAGCACCTCAAAGTCAAACAAAATTTGACTTCCAAAAATACATTAGCAGATCACTTGAAGACGATTTCAAAGTTGTTGTGGGAATAAGGTTTGGTCCTTTGACTCCTTTCAATAATTTTAATTAAAACTCTGCTTATTTCATTAATTAATCATATAATTAACACCTTAATCTTTTCTTTTGTGCAGCCCAATAATATGGCTCTTTGCATTGTTGTTCCTATTGTCCAACACCCATGGTAAGCCACACACTAAACTTAATTCACTATGGCATAACATATAGGTTCGAATCCCCTTGGGGTCACCCCAAAAAAAATTCCCGGTAATTGCTTGGGGCGTGTAAGATTGGGGACTGTGTGTTCGGTAGTTGATTACTAAATGCTTTAAGAGGCCCGAGAACACCACCATTGAAATAATAATAATAATAATAATAATAATAATAATAATAACATATAGGTATAATTTTTCACATATATGCCAAAAATCTTGATCCTATTAATGAACTACATTACATAGACCTTATTAACCCTTAAATCATCTTGTTCTATATGTAATTTTGAATTAGTATTATATTGACCAATGTTTTCACTCTTTATGAGCAGGATGGGTTTCATATTTCTGGCTACCATTTATCCCTCTGATTGTGAGTACATTACTGAATAAAATCATTATATTTGTTCCTTATTTAATTTTTACCTAACATTTTTATGTTGGTCCAGAGGATGATCTGATGTTTGATATATTCTTGATCTTGCAGATACTCCTAATGGTGGGAACAAAGCTGCAGGTGATCATAACAAAGATGGGGTTGAGAATTCAAGACAGAGGGGGTGTTGTAAAGGGTGCACCAGTAGTTCAACCAGGGGATGACCTGTTCTGGTTCAACCGGCCTCGCCTCATTCTCTTCTTGATTCACTTTGTTCTCTTCACTGTACGTCACGCGTGCATCTAATTAATTATATTTATGCAAAACTTTGATCAATGATCGATCAATTAGTAGCATTCTAATATTCTACATTGTATTCTTTTCACGTATGCTTATTTTTTGTATTCTTTTTCTTCATTGTAGAATGCATTTCAGTTGGCTTTCTTTGTCTGGAGTTGGGTAAGTGAAGTCTAATTTACAAAATTGTTGCAATGTGGCATGAAAACTTGATTTTTGGACAAAATTATTATTATTTTTCTCTTCCAACTATGATCGACTTACAATTTTTTCAGTATGAATTTGGCTTGCGCTCATGCTACCACGAACGCCTTGAAGATATAATCATCAGGCTCTCAATGGGGTGAGTATCATTCTGTCACTGAGGCAATGCCTGGTTGTGTTTATCTAGCTTAATCGTATGGATATTCGTTAATCCTTGTGTTTATTCTTGAAAAGTGCAGTTTTCGCTAACATTATGTCACAATGGTGGCCCTTTTCAGGTTCATTGTACAATTTCTGTGCAGCTATGTGACTCTTCCTCTTTATGCCTTGGTCACACAGGTACAGAAAAGGACATGCTTTATTTCAATTCTCTTTCTTTTCTTTTCTTTTTTGCCAAGAAACATATGTTGTTCTCTCTTTGATTTCATATCCATACATGTTTGTATACATATGCCAAGAAACATGGGCAAAAACAATACAAAAAATAAGAGAACATTTCGTTAATTTGTTTTTACAGATGGGATCTAGGATGAGACCAAACATTTTCAGTGACAAAGTGGCAAGTGCTCTAAAAAACTGGCATCACACTGCAAGAAAGCACACCAGACATGGCAGACACTCGGAGAACATCACACCATACTCAAGCAGGCCAGCAACTCCAGCGCGCAGCGTGTCCCCAGTTCACATGTCCCCTGTTCATCTCCTGCGTGACTACCAAAACAATGTCGATGACAGCCTTCAAACGTCGCCAAGGGCATCAAACATAGACAATAAAGTCTCGGACCTTGAATTGTCCCACTTCCAACGCCACCATGATGTCGATGATTTTACAGAGAATGGACATGGTGATCAACCAGAACAGGAAACACCACAACCAAGTTCCATGAAAGAGCCTTCTGCACCAAGTTTTAATAAAGCTCAACATGAAATTCAAATTAGTTTAAGTGATTTTTCATTTGATAAGAGATGATTATGCTTTAGGAAATTGGTCACAAGGCAATATTGTTATCCATCAATATTGTTATACATCCAAAGTTTATTTGTTATTTTTGCAATAAATTTTTTTCAATGTTTCAACATTGAACTTGAGCACTTCATTTGCTTCTGATATAATAATTTTTTGCTAATTATGCAAATGGTCTTAGCTTAATACGGTATGTTTTCTGCATTTATACTCCTAGTATTTTTGAAAGTAGAAGATGAATTACTTAAATATAGTTACCAAAAGAAATTAAAAATAAATAATAATATATTACTTAACATTCTGAAGGTGATAAACTATGCTCTGATGACCCTTTACCCAAATTTAATATATGTACTTATTATAGGTTCCAACCTCTTACTTTATGCAGATTTATGAAGAAAATAGGAAATTGAGGGAAAGAATTAAGAAAAATAATCATTTTGATTTTTCCAATTTAGAAGAAAGCATATAACTAAAACATTTAGAAGATCATTTTTTTTTTTTTTTTTTTTTTTTTTTTTTTTTTTTTTGAAAAATGGTTAAGCAAGTGATATTAATAAGTATAATTACATAGTGGGCCTTTGGCCAAACAGTCCATGAAAGGGACAAGATAAGCCTATAAAAAGGAGCAATAGCAAAGGACAAGCCCAATACAATATAACCAAACAAATAACCGCAATTAACGGCTTGATTAGCCGTTAATGGTGGGTATTTGTGAAACTTCCGGTGATGAGCCCTAGGCAGTAACTTGCAGCAGCGGCTGAGGTTGGTTCAGTCCGTTGGACGTGGCGGAGGACGGCAGCATGATGGAGAAAGATACCAGTCTCTAAGGATTTGTCTTGATGAGGAACAATCCTTGAAGAAGCCAAGCTTAAGGGTTGAAAGTGATGGTGGAACATACTTTTGTGAGGACAGCTTTCTGTGTTGATTTTTTTCTTGGGAAATATCCGGTCATTTCTTTCTTCCCAGGTGTGGTACACCATTGATGATAAGAAAATTTTGCGAAGCAAGTTTATACGAGAGTTTACCTTCTATCGATTGTTAATCCATTGAACTAGGTCATCCCAATTGGTGATTGAAGTACAAAAGTTGCGTTCGTTCTTAATGTGCCTCCAAATTGGGGAGATGAAAACACAATTGAAGAATAAATGATGGTGCGATTCAGGAGAATTATAGCAGACGGCACATCAGTAATAGTATTTAGTGGAAATCTTTAGCAAAGGGGACCTCCTGGAGCCCAATTATCCCACCAAAAGCAAGTATCATTGCCATTGCCAATTCTATGCTTGATGAGAAAATTTACAGGGTACCTAAGTCGAAGAATTTTTTTCCAACTCCAAGAACATGGTTAAGGGTCGATCTTTAGCTTCCAAAAATTTCTAGATTTAATAAGGTATGTTTGGCACCACTTGATCCAAATTCTATCACTATCATTAGTCTGTAGATCCCATATATACCTTAAAATTGCAGCATTGTTGGACAGTTCCAAATTTGGGATTCCCAAACCACCTGAAATCTTTGGTTTGCATACTTTATTCCATGCAACTTTAGTTTTAGTTGATTTCATCTCTATGCCTAACCACATGAAGGATTTGAAGATTTTGTTCAACTCATTTATGGCACATTTTGGGAGTATGAAGATGCTACACCAATAGAGCTGGGTTGAGACTAGGACAGAATTGATGAGTTGCAACCTCCCTACATAAGATAGGGATCTAGATATCCAGTTGCTAATTCTGTGGGTGATCTTGTCAATAAATAGGTTGCAATGGGATGACTTTAGGTTGGTGGTGATTAGTGGTACTTTAAGGTATCTGACTGGGAGAGAGCCAACCCCAATACCCAGTAACGAGGTAATTGCCTCCTCTGTGTGTTGATCAATTCCAGAAAAGAAACCAGAGCTTTTGGTGAGGTTAATCTCAATGCTAGACATTATACAGAAGTGGTCTAAAGCTGATTTTAATATGGAAACAAAGGTAATATCTCCACGGCACGTAGCAAAAGATCATCAGCATAAGAAAGATGAGTAATTTTCAGAATTTTGCACCTCCAATGATACTTAAAAGCATGAGCTCTCTCCACAAAGTTATTTATGATTGAGGATGGTGCATCCATCACTCTGACCAAGAGAAAAGGTGAGATGGGGTCACCTTGTCTCAATCCTCTCAATTGAGACGTGGGAAAGTCAAATTTGGAAGCCAGTCTAGCAAATTTGACCACAAACTCATAAATTTGAAATAATTTGAATTCATCAAGTTAGAGAGCGAAACTCAATTACAACTAAAGCCTTTTAGTTGCAGTTAAGGGCATTATAGTTTTTTTTGTTTTTAAGATAAAGTCACACACACTCTCATTTGTATCACTAAAGACTTGAATGCTCAACTTTAAAAAAAAATAAAAAATTAAGTCACTTGTTTCTTCTTCAAATGTTCAACTTTTTATCTATGAGGATGATCGATTCCTGCAATATATTCCTTGTCGTATTTTAGCTGAAATGAATCAAGTTTTGCTGGAGCCAACGACAGAACTTGAAATTAAACAAGCGGTTTTTGGTATGGCTCCTATTAAAGCTCCTATACCGGATGGTATGACACCATTATTTTATCAAAAGTATCGGGAGGTGATTAAAGAAGATGTGGCAACGATGTCTAGTTTCCTTCAATCCGGGTATATGCTTTCTTGTCTTAATCATACGAATATTGCCCTTATTCCAAAAATTGCATCTCCTACTAGGGTTTTTCATTACCGTCCCATTTCATTGTGTAATGTTGCATATAGAATTATTGCGAAAGTCGTGGCTAACAGATTGAAAAATGTAGTTAATCATATTGTTAGTGAGTCCCAGAGTGCTTTTGTTATAAGATGACATATAACAGATAATATCCTTATCACTAACGAGATAATCCATTATCTAAAAAACAAGCGGAAAGGACGGAAGGCGTTCATGGAACTAAAACTTAACATGGGCAAAGCTTATGACCGTGTTGAATGAGCTTTTCTTTTAAATATGCTTGCTAAGTTAGGGTTGACTGCTTACTGGATAAAGCTCATTTCGGCCTGTATTTCTACGATAACTTATTCACTTGTTATCAATGGCACATCTATTGGGTTTTTTCATCCTTCATGAGGATGGAGACAAGGAGATCCCCTCTCGCCGTATTTATTTATCTTGTGTGTTGAGGCACTTTCGATGGCTTTCCAGTGAGCTCATAGGGCAAAAGTGTTAACAGGGGTGAACATTTGTAGGATGGCTCCAGCTATATCCCATCTTTTCTTTGCAGCTGATTCAATTGTCTTTTGTCTTGCCTCAGCACATGAAGTCACTTTTTAAAGCGAACTCTTCACCTCTATGAAATGGCATCGGGTCAGCAGATCAATTTTGCAAAATCTTTAATTTTCTTTTCCAAAACTGCTTCCAGCAATTTAAGACGGGATCTAAGTCATATGTTAGGTCTATCAGATGAAGGGTTTCATGCTAGATATCTTGGGATGTTGGCTCTAATTGGTCGCTCCAAATATGATGTCTTTCAGTTTCTTCTTCAGAGAATGAAAGAACAGCTGGCTTCTTGGCGAAAAACTACATTATCATATGGCGGAAAGGAAATATTTATAAAGGCCATCTTGAACACTCTTCCAACTTATATTATGTCCTCATTTAAGTTTCCTAGAAATTTGTGTATGGAGTTGATGAAACAAGTGCGTCTATTCTAGTGGGGTAAAAAAGATAGGCGGAGGATTACCCATTGGGCTAGATGGGAGCTCTTGTGTCATAGTAAGAAACAAGGGGGTTTGGGTTTCCGTGATCTTGATGCATTCAATTTTTCATTATTGGCAAAGCATGTTTGGAATTTTCATGTTCATAAACAGGGTTGGGCATATCAATTGATTAAAGCCAAATATTTTCCATTATATTCCTTTTTGGAGGTGAGCCTAGGATCGAATCCATCATGGGGGTAGCGTAGTATTTGGCCATCTAAGGGCATCTTGTGTCAAAGGCTAAGGTGGTTGGTGGGAAATGGGAAGTCTATCCATATTTGGAATGATAAATGGGTTCTTGGCTTACAAACAAAATTAATTCCAAGATCTGATGCAAACTCTTTATGTCATGTTGCAGACTTGATTGATATGAATCGAAAAGTTTGGCAAATGGATATGCTTAAGAAATGGTTTACCCCCAAGGAAGTCCAAGCTATCTGTTGTATTACTTTTAGCCATTGGAATAGAGATGATCTTCCAATTTGGGATTTGGAATCTTCAGGCCATTTTACAGTTAAGTCAACCTATCATTTAGCAATGTCTATTCGTAGTAACGTACTTCAGACGAGAAGGGACAACTATGACCTCTAGTTTATTGAGTGCTGGAATGAGGAGGAGTTCAGTGTGGCGGTGTAAAACCTATTCAAAAGTGCAGCATTGTCTTTGGAGATGTTGCCATGATGCTTTGCCTACACCAACTGCTCTTGTACGTCGGGGATGCATGCCTGGGAGACGTACCCTATATGTCTTCGTTGTGGCTTGGGGCAGAAAGATGTTATTCATCTTTTTTCCGATGTCCTTTCTCCAGGCAGGTTTGGAAGCTCTCCCCACTCCGGTTGGTATTCTCAAATTTTTAATTTAGTTCATTTTTGGAGTAGTGGACTCAAATTTTTACCCAGCTAGACATTTCACAAGCCATTTCTGACTCTCTGGGATTGGCTTCCTTTTGTTTATGGGCTATACGGAAAGCTCAAAATAAAAAGGCGTTTGGCAATGCTGATTGAAGTCCAATGGAGGTTGCAAATATAGAAGTGGAACGTTATTGGGAGTTTACGAATGCGCAGCAAAAATGTAGGAATATTTTCCAAACCTCCCAAAAAAATTTGTCTAATGATTTTTTATCTTGTCCTCCAGATGGAGTTGTCAAATGCAATGTCGATACTAGTTTTGTTAAATCATCCTTGTTAGGAAGAGTGGAGGTGTTGTGTTCCTGGATTCGTCGAGGATTGTTATATAAGCAGTAGTATTAAAACCTTTTCCGACCTCTTAGCGCAATTGATGGAGGCATCTTGCCTTGGAAGTGCGGTTGGTTGGGCTCGGTCCTTTAATTTTCAGAAAATGTGTTTCGAATCGGATGCTAAGCTGGTTGTAGACTCATTAATTGGTGCCGATGTCTGTTCCATAG